CTGGTTTATGTGGCCCTTTCTGTCTCTTGGGCTAATACTTTCCTTGTGTCTTTGGTGTTCCTCATTCTCCTTTACTCCAGGTGGGTTGGGACCAATTGATGCATCTTAGATGGCCGTTCACTAGCTTTTAAGACCCCAGACACCACTCACCAAAGTAGGAAGCAGAACATTTTCTTAATAAACTTGGCCTAGCCAAATTGATACACATTTTTGGGGACACAATTCAGTCCATGACACATGGGAATTTGAAATTCCGTTCTGCATTTTCCCCCTTTTAATCACGATTTGATCAAAACATTCAGTAATGGTAGTTAGGCACCATCTAGTTCTTCTGGTCTCATGGCATAGGAGGCAATTAGCCACACATTCCATTTCCTCATATTTCTGATTCTTCCTCTTCCTCTGCTGCTCCAGATGAATAGAGACCCATTGTTGTACCTTAGATGCAGCGCTAAACAAGATATTAGGCCAATTAACTGGGGTGTCCCGTGAAACTATGACTTTAAAGCTCTAAACCAAGAAACCAAAACCCATAAAGTGCGTGGCTGCTCACTAGCAGCATCAGCAGCTACTGTTTCTATCTCTTTTAATTAATTAATTTATTTTTTGTTATTGTGAAACTGCACATCATACAACATTTGCCAATTCAGTCTTCTACAGGTGTACATTTAGTTACGTCAGTCAGCGGTACAATTCTTTTTTTTTTTTTTTAATACACTTATGTCAGTGTTATGCTTAAGAGTCCAGCTCAGTTGTCCTATAGAATGTGCTATACTCTGGTAGTTAGCTCTAAAGGTTTGGATTCAACTTTTTTGGCACAAGTACTTCATAGGTAGTGCTGTGTATCTCATATTTCATCACATCATAAGGCAGATAAATCTGGTTGTCCCTCATTTAGTGATGCTAAGTTTTATTAGTGGCTTCAGGTGAAGGAAACATTTTCAAAGATACTGAATTAGTGGTTAATAGTAAGGTTTCCTTATATCTAGCATTATTTAAAGCCTTGGGAACCTCTGGTATGTATGTGAGGGGTAGACTAGGGATGTTCAGGGGTGACAGGCCGAATAGTCTGTTGGAGTTCTTGGCTACTTTTGATTGCTTAGCTTTTCTTCGGTCATTCCCATCTGGAGCCACTTTAATATAAGAGGTTAATTGAGGAGTTTTCAACACCTCCTTCCACTACATTGCTGCTTCTCAGTGGCACTCCTAAAGGGTCTTATTTCAGTCAGTTTGGAAGCTGAGCTCGTACCTTAGAAATAGTTCAGTTTTCAGTGTGGAGAGACTCTTGGAACAGATCTGATCTTCTGAAGGTTATCCTGGTCAGGGATGACTCAAAAGAGGCCTGTGTCACAGTACACCTGCTCCTCACTTATCAATTATCTCGTTATCTGACTTTTGCACTTACAACAATAGTAAAAAATCTACTTGACTGTTTTACACGTTAACGGTGTACGTCTGGCAGTAACAAACTCCGACGTGCGAGGCAAGAGTAGCGCTGGCTTTGATGGTTAAGGTTATATGTCAGCTTGGCTGGTCCATGATTCTCAGTGGTTTGGCAGTTATATAATATTGTGATTTAGCAGTTATATAATGATGTAGTCATCCTCCATTTTTGCACAACGCCAATTTTTGCATAATGACCTCGTCTTTGGAACCTAATCATGTCAATAAGTGAAGAGTGAGTGTACTACACTTATATCTCTCAACTTTGTCTGGATTTAGACCAGCCTTTAGTGGTAGGTGGAAGCTTGCTCTGCCATTCAGCACAAATTTTATTTCATGAAATAAAAAAAGAAGTTAAGCATTCTCTTTAGTATATGTAAGCTAAAGGAAATCCAAGAGATGTAAAGTTAAAATAAAAAACTTGATTAAAGATTTCAGATTTCTTTTCCTCATTAAATACATCATCAAAAGATCAAACTTTATTTTTGTATTCAGAATGTTATACTATCATGTCATATATATGTGTAAACACACGCACTCACACACATGTATCAAGTACCTTGTATTACATTTATTATTTCAGACAATTGAGAATGATTGCATTCAGGACTTCATGTATCATGGAATCAATCTTCAAAGAAAGTCTCCAGTGCATTCAAAAGTACGAGAGGTAAGTGAGACCTATTTTAATGTTATTAATTTTATACAAATTATTTTTCAAATAATATTTTTTTGTTTTTGGATAATTGTTTTCTTTTTATTGTTGTGTTTTAAGTGAAAGTTTAAAATTCAAGTTAGTCTCTCATACAAAAATTTATACATACGTTGTTATTTGACCCTAGCTGCTCTCCATGTATTGTGACAGCACACTCCTCCTTTACACCCCGGATTTCCTGTGTCCATTCAACCTGCTCCTGACCTTCTCTGCCTTCTCATCTTGCCTCTGGACAGGAGCTGCCATTTAGCCTCATGTATCTACTTGAGCTACGAAGCACACTCTTCACGAGCATCATTTTATGTCCCATAGCCCAGTCTAATCTTTGTCTGAAGAGTTGGCCTTGGGAATGGTTTTAGTTTTGGGCTAACAGAGAATCCAGGGCCCATGTCTTCCAGGGTCCCTCCAGTCTCAGTCAAACCATTAAGTCTGGTCTTTTTACTAGAATCTAAGTTCTGCATCCCACTTTTCTCCTGCTCTGTCAGAGACTCTCTGTTATGTTCCCTGTCAGGGTGGTCATTGGTGGTAGCTGGGTGCTATCTAGTTCTTCTGGTCTCGGGCTGGTGAAGTCTCTGGTTTGGGTGGCCCTTTCTGTCTCTTGGGCTAATATTTTCCTTGTGTTTTTGGTGTTCTTCATTCTCCTTTGCTCCAGGTGGGTTGGGACCAATTAATGCATCTTAGATGGCCACTCGCTAGCTTTTAAGACCCCAAACACCACTCACCAAAGTGGGATGCAGAACGTTTTCTTAATAAACTTTGTTATGACAATTGAACTATATGTCCCCTGGAAGCATGGTCCCCAGACCCGCACCCCTGCGGCTGTGTCCCTCAAAGTGTTTGATTGTATTCAAGAAACTTCTTAGCTTTTGGTTTAGTACAGTTATGCTGACTTCTCTTGTATTGTGTGTTGTCCTTCCCTTCACCTAAGATAATTCTTGTCTACTATCTAGTTAGTGAATACCCCCTCCCTCCATCCCCACCCTACTAGCCATCAAAGTATGTTCTCTTCTGCGTTTAAAACTTTTCTTGAGTTCTTATAATAGTGGTCTTACACAATATTTGTCCCTTTGCGACAGACTAAATTCACCCAGCATAATACCTTCCAGATTCCTCCATGTTATGTTTCATGGATTCCTCGTTGTTCTTTATCATTGCGCAGTATTCCATTGTGTAAATTTACCATAATTTGTTTATGCATTCGTCCATTGATGGGCACCTAGGTTGTTTCCGTCTTTTTGCTATCATGAACAGTGCTGCAGTGAACATGGGTGTGCATATATTTATTCATGTGACAGCTCTTATTTCTCTAGGATATATTCCAAGAAGTGGGATTGCTGGGTCATATGGTACTTCTAGCTTTTTAAGGAAGCTAGTATATAAATGTTCCAGTCTCTCCACAACCTCTCCAGTATTTATTATTTTGTGGTTTTTGGATTAATGCTAGCCTTGTTGGGGTGAGGTGGTATCTCATTGTAGTTTTGATTTGCATTTCTCTAGTGGCTAATGATCGTGAGCATTTCCTCACGTGTCTGTTAGCCGCCTGAATGTCTTCTTTGGTGAAGTGCCTGTTCATATCCTTTGTCCGTTTTTCAAACGGATTATTTGTCTTTTAGTTGTTGAGGTTTTGCAGTATCTTGTAGATTTTAGAGATTAGATACTGACTGGATTTGTCATAGCCAAAAATTTTTTCCAGTCTGTAGATTGTCTTTTTACTCTTTTGGTGAAGTCTTTCGATGAGCATAAGTGTTTGATTTTTAGGAGCTCCCAGTTATCTAGTTTCTCTTCCGGTGTTTGTGCATTGTTACTTATGGTTCATATTCTGTTTATGCCATGTATTAGGGCTCCTAGTGTTGTCCCTATTTTTTCTTCCATGATCTTTATCATTTTCGATTGTATATTTAGGTCTTTGATCCATTTTGAGTTAATTTTTGTGCATGGTGTGAGGTATGGGTCTTGTTTCAGTTTTTTGCACAGAGATATCCAGTTTGCCAGCACCATTTGTTAAAGAGACTGTCTTTTCCCCAATTAACTGACTTTGGACCTTTGTCAAATATCAGCTGCTCATAGGTGGATGAATTTACATCTCAATTCCTTTCCATTGGTCTATTTATCTGTTGTTGTTGTACCAGTACCAGGCTGTTTTGACTACCATGGCAATATAATAGGTTTTAAAATCAGGTAGTGTGAGGCCTCCGACTTTGTTGTTCTTCTTCGGTAATGGTTTACTTATCCAGGGCCTCTTCCCTTTCCGTATGAAGTTGGTGGTTTGTTTCTCTATCTCCTTAAAAAATGTGGTAGGAATTTGGATAAGGATTGCATTGTATCTGTAGATCGCTTTGGATAGAACTGACATTTTCACAATATTGAGTCTTCCTATCCATGAGCAATTTATGTTTTTCCACTTATGCAGGTTTCTTTTGGTTTCTTGCAGTTGTGTCTTGTAGTTTTCGCTGTATAGGTCTTTTACGTCTCTGGTAAGATTTATTCCTAAATATTTTATCTTCTTGGGGGCTCTGTAAATGGTATTGAAGTTCTCTTTGTTGGTGTAGAGGAATCCAACTGTTTTTTTATGTTTATCTTGTATCCTGATACTTTGCTGAAATCTTCTTTAGTTCCAGTAGTTTTCTTGTAGATTATTTGGGGTTTTCTGTGTATAAGATCATATCATCTGCAAATAGAGATACTTTTACTTCTTCCTTAACAATTGGATACCCTTTGTTTCTTTTTCTAGCCTAATTGCTGTGGCTAGGACCTCCAGTACAATGTTGAATAAGAGTGGTGATAAAGGACATCGTTGTCTGGTCTCATTCTCAAGGGGAATGCTTTCAGACTCTCTCTATTTAGGATGATGTGAACTGTTGGCTTTGTATAAATGCCCTTAATTATGTTAACTAATTTCTCTTCTATTCCTATTGGCTGAGAGTTTTTATCATGAATGGGTGTTGGACTTCGTCAAATGCCTTTTCTGCATCGATTGATAAGATCATGTGGTTCTTGTTTTTTGTTTTGTTTATGTGATGGATTACATTGATTGTTTTTCTAATGTTGAACCATTCCTGCATACCTCGTATAAATCCCACTTGATCATAGTAAATTATTTTTTTGATGTATTGTTGAATTCTATTGCCTAGAATTTTGTTGAGGATTTTTGTGTCAATGTTCATGAAGGATATTGGTCTCTAAGTTTCTTTTTCTGTGGTGTCTTTCCCTGGTTTTGGTATCAGGGTTATGCTGGCTTCATAGAATGCGTTTAGTAGTATTCCATCCTTTTCTATGCTCTGAAATACCTTTAGTCATAGTGGAGTTAATTCTTCTCTGAAAGTTTAGTAGAATTCTCCAATGAAACTGTCCAGGCCAGGGTATTTTTTTGTTGGGAGTTTTTTTAATTACCTTTTCAATCTCTTCTTTTGTTATAGGTTTTAGTTGTTCTACTTCTCTTTGTGTTAGTTTAGATAGGGAATCAGTTTCTAGAAATTTGTCCATTTCCTCTAGGTTTTCAAATTTTGTTAGAGTACAGTTTTTCATAGCATTCTGTTATGATTCTTTTCATTTCAGTTGGGTTTGTTGTGATATCACTCATCTCATTTCTTATACAGGTTTTTTGCTTTCTCTCCTGTTTTTCGTTTTGTCAGTTTGGCCAGTGGTTTATCCATTCTGTTGATCTTTTCAAAGAACCAGCTTTTGGTCTCATTAACTCTTTCCATTGTTTTTCTCTTCTCTATTTCATTTAATTCTGCTCTAATTCTTATTATTTCCTTGTTTCTGGCACCTGAGGGTTTCTTTTGCTGCTCTCTTTCTACTTGTTCCAGTCATAGGGTTGATGCTTTGATTATGAGCCTTTCTTCTTTTTGGATGTGTGCATTTATTGCTGTGAACTGACCTCAACACTGCTTTTGCTGTGTCCCAAAGGTTCCTGTAGGATGTGTTTTCATTCTCATTTGATTTCTATGAATTTCGTTATTCCATCCTTAATTTCTTCTGTAACCCAGTAGTTTTTGAGCAAGGTGTTGTTCAGTTTCCATGTGTTTGATTTTTTTCCTTGCTTTTTCTGTTATTAATTTCTACTTTTATGGCCTTATAGTCAGAAAAGATGCTATGTAATATTTCGATGCTTTGGATTTTGTTACGGCTTGCTTTAGGGCCTAATATGTGGTATATTATGGAAAATGTTCCATATGCATTCAAAAAGATAAAGTACACTCACCTGCTGTTGAGTGGAGTGTTGGGTATATGTCCATGGGATCAAGTTGGTTGATTGTAGCATTTAGATCTTCTGTGTGTTTATTGAACTTCTTTCTGGATGTTCTGTCCTTCACCAAAAGTGGCATATTGAAGTCTCCTACTATTATTGTGGAGCTGTCTATCTCTCTTTTCATTGCTGTTAGAGTTTGTTTTATGTATTTTGGAGCCCTGTCGTTGGGTGTGTAAATATTGATTACAATTGTGTCCTCCTGTTGTATTGACCCTTTAATCATTATATAGTGTCCTTCCTTATCTTTTGTGGTGGATTTTACTTTGAAGTTTTTTTTGTCAGAGATTAATATTGCTACTCATGCTCTTTTTTGATTGTTGTTTGCTTGATGTAATTTTTTCCATCCTTTCAGTTTTTGTTTGTGTCTTCAAGTCTAAGTTTATCTCTTGTAGGCGGCGTATAGACAGATCGTGTTTTTTAATCCATTCCACCACTTTCTGTCTCTTTATTGGTACATTTAGTCCTTACATTCAGCATAGTTGTAGATAGGTATGAGTTTAGTGCTGTCATTTTGATATCTTTTTTTTGTGTGTGTTGTTGACAGTTTATTTGTTCCACTTAATTTTCTGCGCTGAGTCGTTTTTCTTTATGTATTTTCGTCTTTTTCATTGTTGTTGATTTTGTATTTACTGAGTACTTTATATTTTCCCTGTTTTTTATTTTGATGTGTAGGATTAGTTTCCTTTGTGGTTGCCTTAATATGCACCCCTGTTTTTCTAAGTTTAAACCAGTGTTTTATTCCTTTATATCGCGTTGACTTCCTTTCCATATGAAAAATCTATGACTACATGTTTTAGTCCTTTTTTGTTTTAATGTTGTCATCTTTTGCAAGTTGACATCTCTGTTTCCCTATTTTCAGTGTTTTAGCTTTGGTATATTGTTGTGACTTGCCTATCTGGGTTGATACCTCGTTGCCCTGTCCTGTGTTCTAGGCTTGGGTTGTTGTCTGATGTTGGTGATTTTCTAGCCGGAGAACTCCCTTTAGTATTTCTTGTAATTTTGGTTTGGTTTTTGCAAATTAGCTAAACTTCTCTTTATCTGGAAATGCCCTGATTTTGCCATCATATTCAAGAGACTGTTTTGCTGGATATATAATTCTTGGCTGGCAATTTTTTTCCTTCAAGGCTTTATATATGTCATTCCATTACCTTCTTGCCTGCATGGTTTCTGCTGAGTAGTCTGAGCTTAGTCTTATTAACTCTCCTTTGTAGACAACTTTCATTTATCACTAGCTGCTGTTAGAATTTTCTCTGTATCTTTGGTTTTGGCAAGTTTGATTATACTATATCTTGGTGACTTTCTTTTGGGATGTACCTTATGTGGGGTTTGATGAGCATCTTGGATAGATATCTTCTCATCTTTCATGATATCAGGGAAGTTTTCTGCCAACAAATCTTCAGCTATTCTCTCTGTATTTTCTGTTATCCTCTCCTGTTGTGGTAATGCAGTTACTTATAGTTTATTCCTCTTGATCGAGTCCCACATAATCCTTAGAGTTGCTTCATTTTTTTAAACTCTTTTATCTTATTTTTTCTCAAATAAGTTGGTTTCAAGTTCTTTATCTTCAGTCTCACTAATTCTGACTTCCGTTGCCTCAGTTCTGCTCCTGTGATTGTCTGTTGAGTTGTTTAATTCTGAAATTTTATTGTCAATCTTTTGGATTTCTGATTGCTGTCTCTGTGGATTCTTGCAGCCTATTAAATTTGTCATTATACTCTTGGATAATCTTCTTAAGATCCTCTGTTGCTTTGTCTGTGTGTTCTTTGGCTTGTTCTGCGTTTTGCCTGATCTCTTGAAGAGTTCTGTGTATTCTTTTGTATTCTACCTCCGGTAATTCCAAGAAATTTTCTTCCTTCAGAAAATTTCTTTATTCTTTATTTTGGGAGCTTGCTGAAGCCATCATGGTCTGCCTCTTTGTATGATTTGATATTGACTGTTGTCTCTGAGCCATCAATAAGTTGTTGTATTTGTTTATTTTATGTTTGCTTACTGTGTCCTCGCTTCTTGTTTTGTTTTGTTTTGATATTCCCAAATAGGCTGCTCGTGTGAGCTAGTTTGATTAGTGGCACCTTTGAAGCTCTAACATCCTGTCACCAGGTGGTTATAGCTATTATTAAATATGTGAGCCCAGGAGTGTGTTTACTTGTTTTGTATGAGTTCAGCTCAGGTGTCCAGGTAGTCAGTCACCAAGTGTGTTGTGCAGGCTCTCACCTACAGTCGTAGACAGGCATGGGTGATTGGTGTAGGCACAGGTATGTGGTTGCAGTAGCAGGTTACGTGCTGAGCAAGGCAGGGAGCTTATGCCTGCCTCTGAGTTTCTGGGAGAAAAGTGTGTCCCCGTTTCCTAGAGCACGTATGTAGGTGGGTTTTGCAGCTGTATTATGGGCACCCAGTGCTGTTGGCTGTAGGGACTAGGAGGCACCACTTATTCTTGGAGCCACCCCACCAGTCCGTAGGCCCATGCTGCGGGTGGGTGAAGACTCTGCTTAATGGGCAGGCATTGTCAAATGTCACAATGCTGTCACTTCAACATATAGCTAACATAGTTGAAGTTAGACTTCAGGTATATACCCTGTTGTACTGTGGTAGTGAGGACCTATGCTGTTGAAATAGGCCCACCCAGGTCTATGCAGGAGTGAAAGGCATTCAAAGTCCGTGGACCCCTTATGCCTGTGCCTAGGCAAAGCAGCTGTGCCTACCCTGAGTTGCTGGCTTAGGGGAGCCAGCAGATTATTTTTTCCCTGTTTGTTAATTTATTCCCTCTCCAAGGCCAGGAGAGTGGCTTAGGGCACGTGTTGCATCCTACTTCCAGTCCAGGGGACTTGGCAATCGCTGAAGCTGGCCCAGGACCCGGTGCAGAGCGGGGAGTGGGGAGGTAAATGGGAGAGAGGTTTTTTCCAAATGGGATGTTTTTGATCTACGTGGTAGGCCAGATGTAAGTTCTTATCTTTTGCCAGTTAAGTGCTGCTTTTCACTGGTTCTGGATGTCCAAGTAGACTCTCCATTGCTGGGTCTCTCCCGATGTGGAAAACGCCTCCCGAGTGCCACTGCTTGTCTCACTGCACACGCAAGCCAATCCAGCCTGAAGGGCCCTGGCTTCTGCCGGGTCAGGTCTGGCACCTCCTCGCTGCTTCCAAACCATCTCTCCCTCCCCTGGCCACTCAATCCAATTCCTCAACTTTGCCTTTGATGTTCAGGGCTTCTACATTGTCATATATAATCGACTCACTTGTTTTTTTGGGTCTTTGTTGTAAGAGGGACCACAGGAAGCGTCTGACTACTCTGCTGTCTTGGCCCTGCCCCTTTGGAGAATTTTTTTGGTTAAGTTTAAAAATTAGGTTAAGCTTTCACAGGCAGTCAGTAGGATTTCTAAGAATCTGAATATTTGGTATTTGGCAGTTTTATTTACTGCTACCAAGATTTAATGAGAAAAAAATAGGTGTACTATCGTTAAGATATTCAGAACTTAATTGAAAAACCTTTAATTAAATTCTTTGACATATTCCAGAATCATCACTGTCTAACTGCCACTACCGTATTTTTTAGAAGATATTTGAAATTTTTATTATTTACTTTTCTACACTAAGTTCCCATTTCAGTATTCTGTAAATCAAATGGAACAAATGCTTCATTAGTTCCTCCTGATAAAATTGATGCTGTTTTTAAAATGTAATTTCAGAATTTACATACAAATTTTATCATTACATTTATAAGTGGTCAGACTAAATAGAGCTCTGCTATCAGTGTTGTTATTTCACTGATAGGTGTTTCATTAATCATTATGATCCTGGCAGAAGGAATTGGAAAATGTGGTATTTGTTTGGTTAAATTAAGTGGATGCTATCTATCAGCATTCTAACCCACAGAATGATGCCTATTTTTGCTTGTTGTAGTTTTGGCAACCATGTATCAAGAAGCTAAATGCACAAAGTGTACTTCTTTGCTTTTTTGTAAAGTGAAATTACTATTATTTGTAAATGCAAGTACTATATTAATTTTGAATGAAGATTGAAGCCTTTCTTTACATTATTGATGTTTTAATTTGAGTTACCCAAGGATAAAGAACACATAGATTTATCTAGACCAGTCAGTTTTCTAGAAGGCTTTAAAAATTGTGATGTCATGTATTTAAAATAAGAATTTGATTGTTAAACTCAACTATGTTAAAGAGTAAATAGAATATATGAATGTTGTTTAGAATATAATATAAATTACGTAATCAGTGGATTCCCTCCCCTAATTTTGGTGTGATTTATTAAATTGTAGATCAGTTTGGGTTATTTATTTCACATATATTATTTGGTGTTTCAAATCCTACATAGTAATAAAAAGTGACGTCATGTTAAACTATATAAAATTTTGACATAGTTTATCAACACCACTAATAAATTTATGGGAAAATGCATAAAAGGAATTAAAAGGAAGAAAATTAGATTGTGAAATGTATTACTAAACTCCACGTAAACTATGGCTTCTTCCTCAAATGCTTTTTATTCACCGTTAGGTGCTGAGTTATTTTCACCATCAAAAGAAATTTCGACAGGGAGTGGAAGAGATGCTTTACAGATTATATAAACCCATCCTTTGGAGAGGATTAAAGGTACATGTTACAAAGAATATAATTCATGTTTAGAATGTACTAATCATACTTTTAGATACATTAGATAGTCTAATTCAAAATTGTATTAAGGCAGTAAAAATAAGATTGAAAGTTGAGTGCTTTGTGAAATTTGGAGATAAATGTTTTAATGATTTTTTTCTTTTATTAAAAGCGTTTTCCATTCAGCAGGAAATCTGAATTAATTTAGTGCTAACTACACAATCACTTTTGAAGTAACTATGTCAGTGAAGGGAAATAGCAGCATACATTAAAACAATACATGTAGGTGATCTATAGACAAGATAATCTGCAGTTTACATACTTCCTAGTTGTGTTGGTAGCTGGGGAACAGGATGACAAAAAGCACTCTTAAAGAGTATTCAAATTTACATATGAGTATTTTTCAGTGCAGCTAATTCTGGTGTCAGTAATTAGGATATGATACTGAATGTTTCTTAATGACATGAGATGGGACTTTGAAGCAAAGTAACTGATTTTTTCTTTTGATATCTGATGACACTGGACTTGAGAGTTTGGCTTAATTTAAGGAAGGTCTCACAAGTTTTGTCAATTTAAATGTCTTTTGAAATTTGTTTATAAATAAGTCTATACTGAGGTAATAGAAGTATGTATTTAGGAACACTAGACTACAGGCTTCATATGTTATCTTTTTGGAATCTGAAATACTCTTTTTTATTATTATAGGCCAGAAACTCTGAAGTTCGATCAAATGCTGCGTTGCTGTTTGTTGAAGCATTCCCTATTAGGGATCCAAACTTTAATGCTGTTGAAATGGATAGTGAAATCCAGAAACAGTTCGAAGAACTATATGTACGTATTTCATGTGATTGAATCCTATCAACTGCAGCTCGGTCCAGGCGAGCGTACTTAATGCTTGCTTGTCAGTATAACCTGATCATCTCTGCCTCTCTGACTCCACTCATACTTGGATCCCTAAGTGGAGTACTTTTCCAAATCTTGAGCATTCAACAAAGAAATATTCATTCATCTTACTTGATGTTTTGTGTAATAATGTGAATCCATGGTGTCCTTTTTTCTTCTTAGTCATTTTTTTTTCAAAGGCATTTTTTTACAAATGTGGTAAAAAAAAAATTGGCCATCTCAACATTACCTTTGGGACATTTAATTATTTATTACTTAGAGGCAACATAACAGTGGTTAAAAACACATGCTCTGGGGTCAGATATCCTAGGTTTGAATTCCAGTTCTCTCACTTAATAGCTGTGTAACTTTATGTGTGACTTAACTTCTCTGTGTCTTTGTTTATAACATGAATATTGTGACGTTGTCTGCCATAAGGTGGGATAGAATGAATGAATAAACACTAGTTATTTCAAGGCAAGCCTACAAATAATGCTTGCTTCAGTTTATTTTTCGAGTGATTGATTTTTCAAATGGGATGTTAGGACATGGGTGTTACTTGCTGTTACGTCAGTTCTGACTTGCGGTGATCCCATGTGTGCAGAGTAGAACTGCTCCATAAGGTTTTCAAGGCTCTGACCTCTTAGAAGTGGATCATCAGGCCTGTTTTCCGAGGCGCCCCTGGGTGGGTTCAAACTACCATTGTTTTGGTTAGTAATCTAGTGCTTAACTTTTTCTGTCACCCAAGGTCTTCTTTGGGACATTGTTGTTCAGTGCCCTCGAGTTGATTCAGACTCATAGCAACCCTGTTTGACAGAGTAGAACTGCCCCATACGGTTTCTAAGCTGTAATCTTTACGGGAGCAGATCACCAGGTCTTTTTTCCCCACAGAGTACTATATGGGTTCAAACTGTCAACCTTTCAGTTAGCAGCCGTGTGATGAACCCTTGCACCACCAGGGCTCCTTTTTAGGACATTAGGATGCAATATATATTTCTTTTTCCTTTTTTTTTAAGGGGATTATTGCAACCATTTTTTTTTCTTTTGCATCTTTTTTTTTTATCGTACTTTAGATGGTTTACAGAACAAACTAGCTTCTCATTAAACAGTACACATATTTTATGACATTGGCTAACAACCCCACAACATGTCAACACTCTCCTTTCTTGACCTTGGGTTCTCTATCACCAGCTTTTCTGTCCCCTCCTGCCTTCTAGTCCTTGCCCCTGGGCTAGTGCACCCCTTTATTCTCGTTTGTTTTATGGGCCTGTCTAATCTTGGCTAAAGGGTGAATCTCAAGAGTGACTTCATTACTGAGCTAAAACGGTGTCTGGGGGCCATACTCTCGGGGTTTCTCCAGTCTCTATCAGGCCAGTAAATCTGGTCTTTTTTTGTGAGGTAGAATTTTTATTCTACATTTTCCTCCAGCTCTGTCTGGGACCCTATGTTCTCATCCCTATCAGAGCAGTCAGTGGTGGTAGCTGGGCAACATCTAGTTGTACTGGACTCAGTCTGGTGGAGATCGTGGTCGTTGTGGTCTGTTAGTCCTTTGAACTAATCTTTCACTTGTGTATTTAGTTTTCTTCATTCTCCCTTGCTGCAGACAAGGTGAGACCAGTGGACTATCTTAGATGGCCGCTCACAGGAATCTGGGATAGATATCTTCTCATCTTTCACGATATCAGGGAAGTTTTCTGCCAACAAATCTCAACAATTCTCTCTGTATTTTCTGTTATCCCCACCCTGTTCTGGTACTCCAGTCACTCGTAGGTTATTCCTCTTGATGGAGTCCCACATAATTCTTAGGGTTTCTTCATTTTTTTTTAATCCTTTTATCTGATTTTTCCTCAAATAAGTTGTGTCAAGTACTTTATTTTCAGTCTCACTTAATTCTGACTTCCATTGTATCAGTTCTACTCTTTTGACTTTCTATTGAGTTGTCTATTTTTGAAATTTTATTGTTAACCTTCTGAATTTCTGATTGCTGTCTCTCTGTGGATTCTTGCAGCCTGTTAAATTTGTCATTATGTTCTTCTCTAATCTTTTTAAATTTCTCTATTACATGATCTGCGTTTTGCCTAATTTCCTTCCTGATCTCTTGAACAGTTCTGTATATTAATCTTTTGTATTCTGCCTCTGGTAATGCCAAGAAATCCTCTTCCTCTGGAAAATTTCTTGATTCTTTATTTTGGGAGCTTCCTGAACCATCATGGTCTGCCTGTGTATGTGATTTGATATTGACTGTTGTCTCCAAGCCATCAGTAAGTTATTATATTTATTTTATGTTTGCTTACTGTGTCCTAGCTTCTTGTTTTGTTTTGATATGCCCAAACAGGCTGCTGGTGCGAACTAGCCCAGTCAGCAATCCCCCCTGAAGCTCCAACATCCTGCCACCAGGTGGCCAGACCTGCTACTAAGTATGTGAGCCCAGGAGTCCGCCCACTCCTCCTGTCTGGATTCAGCTCGGTATCCAGGTAGTTGGCCACCAAGTGTGTGGTGCAGGCTCTCGCCCACAGTCCTAGACAGACATGGGTGATTGGTGTAGGTACAGGCATCCATCCGGCTGCAGCAGGGGGTCATGTGCTGAGCAAGGCAGGGGGCCGACAGCCACCCTCGAGTGTCCCTGTTCTCTAGAGCACGTAGGTGGATGGGTTTTGTAGCCAGACTATGAGTACCAATGCTGTTGGACTAGGGGGCACCGCTTATTCTTAGACCCCTGCCGCGGGTGACTGTGTGGCATAGGTGGAGCCACCAGCCCTCATGCCGCTGATGTTGGCAGGCAAGGAACCAGCCCAATGGGCAGAGAAGTGTCAGATGCCACGAACCTGCCACCCTACAGCTGAAACAGTTGAAGTTAGATTTCAGGCATATACCCACTCACAGGCTTTTAAGACCCGAGACGCTACTCACCAAAGTAGAATGTAGAACATTTTCTTTATAAACTGTGGTGTGCCGATTTAGCTAGATGTCCCCTGAGACTGTGGTCCCCATAGCACTCAGCCCAGTAATTTGGTCCCTCAGGGAGTTTGGGTGTGTCTGTGGAGCTTCCACGACCTTGCCTTGTACAAGTTGTTCTGGCTTCCCCAGTATTATATACTGTCTTACCCTTCACCAAAGTTACCACTTATCTATTGTCTATTTAGTGCTTTTCCATCCTCACCTTTCCCCTCCATCGTTATCATCAAAGATTACATTTGTGTGTAAATCTTTTCATGAGTTTTTATAGTGGTGGTCTCACACAATATTTAATATTTGTCCTTTTCTGATTGACTTATTTCACTCAGCATAATGCCCTGCAGATTCACCCATGTTGTGAAATGCTTCACAGATTCGTCAGTGTTCCTTAGTGTTGCGTAGTACTCCATTGTGTGTATGTACCATAGTTTATCTGTTCAGCTGTTGATGGGCATCTAGGTTGTTTCCGTCTTTTTGCTATGGTGAACAGTGCTGCAGTGAACATGGGTGTGCACATGTCTATTCGTATGATGGCTCTTTATTTCTCTAAGATATATTCATGGTAGTGTGATTGCTGGATCATAAGGTATTTCTGTTTGTAGCTTTCTAAGGAGGCACCATATCGTTCTCCAAAATGGTTGTACGGTTTTGCATTCCCACCAGCAATGCATAAGAGTTCCAATCTCCCTGCAGCCTCTTCAACATTTGTTATTTTCTGTTTTTTTGATTTGTGCCAGTAATGTCAGGGTGAGATGGTATCTCATTGTGGTTTAGATATGTATATCTCTAATGGCTAGTGATCATGAGCATTTCCTCAAGTGTCTTCTTTGGTGAAGTGTCTGTTTATTTCCTTTGTCCATTTTTTAATTGGATTATTTGTCTTTTTATTGTAGAGGTGTTGGATTTTCCTGTAGATTTTAGAGATTAGACATTTGTTGGATTTGTAAGAGCCAAAAATTTTTTCCTAGTCTGTAGGTTCTCTTTTTATTCGTTTGGTAAAGTCTTTTGATGGACGTAAGTGTTTAATTTTTAGAAGATCCCAGTTATCTAGCTTATCTTCTGGAGTTTGTGTGTCGTTAGTTATGGTTTGTATCCTGTTAATGCATTGATCCTATTTTTTCTTCTATGAACTTTATAGTTTTTGGTTTTATATTTAGGTCTTTGACCCATTTTGAATTAGTTTTTGTGTATGGTGTGAGGTATGGGTCCTGTTTCATCTTTTTCTAGATGGACGTCCAGTTTTGCCAGCAGCATTTTTTAAAAGACTGTCTTTTCCCCATTTGATGGACTCTGGACCCTTGTCGAAGATCAGATGATCATAGGTGAATGGATTTACATCTGGGTCCTCAATTCTGTTCCTTTGGTCAATGTATCTGTCATTGTACCAGTACCAGGCTGTTTTAACTACTGTAGCTGTATAGTAGGTTCTGAGGTCAGGTAGTGTGAGTCCTCCTCCTTTATTCTTCTTCAATAGTTCTTTACTTATCTGGTAACTCTTCCCTTTCTTTCCCTTTCCATATAAAGTTAATGATTTTTTTTTCCATCTCAAAAGAATGTTGTTGGTATTTGAATCGGGACTGCATTGTATTTGTAGATTGTTTTGGGTAGAACTGTTATTTTCACAATGTTGAATTTACTTACTTATAAGCATGGTATGTTTTCCCATTTATGTAGTTCTCTTTTGTTTTCTTGTAGTAGTGTTTTATAGTTTTCTTCGTATAGGTCTTTTGCATCCCTTGTTAGATTTATTCCTAAGTATTTTATTTTTTTAGGGGCTGTTTTAAATGATACTGTTGGTTCCTGATTTCCTTTTCATCATTCTCTTTATTGGTGTATAGGATTCCAACTAGTGTATATTTATCTTGTATCCTGCTACTCTGCTGAATTTTTCTGTTAGTTCCAGTAGCTTTCTCATGGAGTCTTTTGGGTTTTCTATGTATAGTATCATATCATCCACAAAATAGGGACAGTGGTACTTCTTCATTACCAATTTG